TTTTAATTAAATTTGATTTTACCTGTTCACACCAACTGCAATTATCTTTTGAAGGCTAAAAAAATTTAAAAATTATTTTAAATACATTAAAATATAAATTAAATTAAATTATTTTATTTTGGTTATTATTTATAACAATAACTTATTACCTCTGAAAAGGACAAATAATTCCATGGCTGAAAATAACAGATATTTTTTATAAAATATAGATTAATTTATATTACAGCTCTTGATAATTTTTTATACTATGTAAATATATATATAACAGTATATATCAAAATACTCCATTAGGAATTTAAATGTGAAAAACTTTTAACTACTAATATCTCTAATATCACTTCCGTCAATATTATAATTTAAAGACAATGATTACTCTTGCAATCTCAAATATATTCAAAAAGCATATTACATATGAATCACTAGATTCAAGCAAAATTTATACCTTGCAGTACTCTTTGAAACCACAAATAAACATTGTCGAGGTACGTAAAATCTAATCTAATCTTAGGCTTTCAAGCATCGATATATTTAATAACCAGCCTTTCATTAGAACTGACGTCGTTCCTCATCTCATGCTAGCTTTTTGAACTGTGTTTTTAATTCAATCGAGTTTTATTACATTTCTCTCGTCCAAAATCTCATAACAAAATATGAGTGTAGGATTTTCAGGAAATAGCCAACGTAAATATTCTTAAATGACAGTTCTGCATTGTTATTTTTATAGTAGTAAAATTGTAATTATTTCTGAATAATATAAATTTTTATATACTCTGTATAACAACACAAAATACCAATCTATTAAAATATTCATAATCAACATATTTATCATTTATCACATAAATCTATTTATTTCATTATGTTTATGATCAGTTGCAAACGCCGAATACTTTTTGCTTAACCCAATAATGCATTCAAATTTTTAGTAGTTACAGTAACTGATAATGATATACTTATAAAAGCTTTGAAATACAACAACAACATACTCTTATATTTAATGAAGACAACTTGAAACTTGAATAAAACTTAATATCATTCACATTTATAGTCCTAAAGCGATATTTTGATATATACAATGTATTTGTTTTATTTTCTGTGCATTTAGTATAGTATTCTAGAATATTACATATATTAATTACCTTTCCTCTTCCTGCACTACAACAAATCTTCTGTAAATAATTATATATTAATATTGCACTTATGAATTATAAGTACCACATATTGTATATATAATACAATAAAGAAATGTTAAAACAACTTTACCGATGAGGTGGTTTGCAAGTTGTTCTCAGAACTAAAAAGTAAATAATATATTCGAAATAATTGAACCCTTAAATATAAATAATCGCATTAACTTACCGGCGGTGCACCTGCCGCTTTAATCTGGTAAAAAGGTGATTCTGGTGTTAGCCCTAATAATTAAAAATATTTTTAATATATGGTATTTCATATAAATATTATTACACATATATGTTTGTAATTAATTTTAATATATTTTTTCAAATGCGGGTCTAAAATATAGTCAACCTGAAACCTGAAAATTTCGATTTTATGCGGCACCAGAAACACATAAACGAATAAGTCACAGCAGTGGCGGAGCTAGACCAACTCTGGACGTCGAACACATTAGAATTGCGAGGCCCCCAATACAACCCAGTTGTAAAAGTTAATAAGTTACATTCACTAATATGACAAAGCATGATTGAAAGTTTTATTGTTATTCAAATTAAAATAAACATAAATTAAAATAAATGAATTTTTCTACTTTTAGATTCACTACATTCTTTTTAAATTATATCATAATTTGATCCATCATAATTTGATCCGTCTTAATCAATTTTAAATTTGAGAAGCTTCTTTCCGTCGAAGCTATACTGACCGGAACTGTGAACATGAATCTGGTTACTATATAAACATTCGGAAATATTTCGAATATGGTTAATGCCATTATCAAGACAAATTGTTCAAAATATTTATTAACTGCTTAGAATCCACAATCGGTAACTTTTTGCGAGGCCCATGTGGGCGCGAGACCGTCGGCGATCACCGACATCGCTGACGCCTAGCGACGCCACTGAGTGACAGGTTTCTGAATAGCACAAACCTACTCCGGTGACTTCATCAAAAGAAGTCAAATGGTCTTATCGAACAATTTAAAGAAGAAGTTTTGAGAATCTCTTCGTTTAAGTAATTGATGGCACCAACAAACTATTCGTTTTTACTAGTTATATGTATATATAAATATATATATATATATATAGTGGTTACAAACGCTTTTATGTAACTAATTTTTAATATTGGTTTTTAGGAACGAAATACTTTAAAATACAGGTCAAAATGCAATGATTCTTAATGATCCCCAATATATTGCACCAAAACTTGCCAGTGGATTTCTTTTAAGCAATGTTCTTGCTATATATTGTCTTGAGATCAGATAAGCGCATCAAACGGTGAGATAAATTGATATTTTTAAATACAATGTAAATGATTCATTATATAAGGACCATTCACCTTACAACTAAAACTAATAGTGACGACTTATCGCTTTATATCCATTGGATGGAAAATGCTTATATCAGTATAAAATCGATTTTGGAATTATATTAAAGTCAATAATATACTATAATTTTAGAAAGTAATTGAAATAAAATTAAACAATTTCTTACATATGATTCATTCATGTCATTAAAATAAATAATTTATAATTCAAATTCAAAATATCGAAATAAAAATATATACTATAATATACTTTATACTTACATTTGCACATGGAGAATTTCTTTTAATACCGTCATCCGTTAATGATAGTTTACATGCCTAAGATAAATGAAAAAGATTCAAAAAGTTTTATTTAAATTCTCATATTGTTCAAAAATTTTTTGTTAATTAATTATTTTACTTATTTATTTTAACTTTTATTTAACCAAATTTACCCAAAGATTGGGGTAAATTATGATGAAATACGACAGCATAAATCTTATTTCTAGTTAATAGTTAATAATTATATTTAATGGTATAACAGTTGTTTACGCGTTTATTCATAGGTGAATAAGCATGCTGCATACTTAACAGAAAATTTGAAATTGGAACCTGGTTAATTGCTGTAGCATTCTTCTAAATAATACTAGTCTTTAAACCTTATTACACCATACTGAGCAGTATGCTCACTTATTTACAAAAGTAATTGAAAGAAGAAAAAGCATCGGAAATTCTGAGCAACAACCAATTTCTATGTGCTCATTCTTGTGCTTTTCGCATATAATATATTAGCATAAAAACATACGCAAGCTATTATGGGTAGAATATCTTATATCTGATATCCTTAATCTCATCTTAATTGACTTTCAACAAGTTTGAGACACATTATTTCATGGTGCTATGTTGAAAACACTTGTATGCAGAGGCATATTTCAGAAGCTGATAAAGTATGTCTGTTTGAGCATCCACTGTTTAGATATACATGCGAGTTTTACCAGTAGCCGTAAGACCAGACTGTATAATTTCTCCATTATTCACACGTTGCCATCGACTTTAATATATTAGAAGAAAAGGCCTATAGATATGTTTTTACATCCCGGTTACATAGTAAACTTAGTGATCTGAATTATGCAGTTGACATTTTCTTAATGTCTTATATCTTCATCTAGATTTCGAAATCTTTAAGGGAAATTGGTACAAAATCGGAAACCGCAGGTTTGGTTTAGCTCAAGCATCGAGGATGTCAATAGTTTTTTTTACCTAGACAGCTATTTATATAACAATGGTGACAGCCAATAGGTAATACAAAACAGAATTACTAAATTAAGCTTTTAAAAGCGCTAATAAAATGTAAAAATTGTTTCCCGTATAAAAATCAGATTATACAACACTAATATTTAAGCTTTACTTGAAGGCTAAAATAAGTTTTGTCAACGATAGTCTTTGCCACAAATGATAATTCTAGCCTAATATATTATCTAACAAAAGTTGTGGTTTAGATTTCAGCGACCTCCAATTATTAAGAAAAAAATGTCTCAAAAATAGAAATAGCTTCAGCACATTTTTTATTAGTGAATAGAAACCAAAGTAAATAGAAGAGGAGCAGCGAATTCAGAAGAGAATGATTGTGGCCCTATGTTCATTGTAGGACTAAGACAAGTTTAGGACTAAGAGTCAATTATATAATATATTATATATTGAGCATATTATACATATGTTCTACAATTATAATTTCCCTGAAATCGTTGAATTGTTATCATCGTCAACAGTTAATGACTGATAAAATATACATATTCTGGATTTAAGTTACTGGACCCAGTGGTAAAACTGTAAGTATATAATATATCTTAATTGAATCAGTGTTTCAATTCCACTGTCAGGCAACTGTTGTTGTAGAAAACAACAAATATTTTTAAAGAGTATAAAATATATCTGTAATTATTTTTTAAGCACTTTTTTAATTAATGACCGAGTCATAGAAAACGTCGTATGTATCGCACCTACAGTGGGAATTAATATTTATATGTTTCTGTTATTCTGAAAACTATAAACAAACTATAAATTTAAGAACAAAGTGAAAAAAAAGACACTTACTAGAATTTTCGAATTTAAGAAAATTTAAAGAATAAAAATGTATTTTCCAATATAATAAGATAATATGTCTGAATCATTTTATAAAGAAGCCGTCAATGCGAGTTCATTTTCCAAAAAAATTAAATCTACAAAAAATTAACTCTTAACACCTAAGTAATACAATGAAAGCATATCACAATGAAAGTTTCTTTTATTAGACCTTACAAAGTTATAGATTTTATATTCTATATTTATTAAATAAGTGTAAATTTATACACTACAAACTGAAAACACTTACCTCAAATATTTTATTGACTGCAGCACTCTATTTCCAGTATCAAAGCCATGTTAAAACGAAATTTATACCGATAAATTAATTTAATAAAAA